AGAGTACATCAAGCTGCTTTCCCAGATCTCTGCATGTACATTTTAATAAGTCTATAACTAAATGCTTTTGGAATTTCTCGGTGATCAAACTGTCCTATCTACCCAGAAATATAGCAAATGTTTGAACAGATGGATATTGCAATAATGTATAAAACCCATAAAATAATGCTGTAAAAATCTGTCTTCTTTATTTTCACTTTTTAGTTTTAATTCCAGTATAGTTAACATGCAGTGTTATATTAGGTTCAGGTGTACAATATAGTGACATTCAATTCTATACATCACCCCATGCTCATCATGACAAGTACACTCTATGTCCATCATCTATTTCACCTATCCCCCACCACCTTCCCTCTGATAACCATCAGTTCTTAATAATTAAGAGTCTGTTTATTGGCAAATCTCTTTCTTTTTTTCCCCCTTTACTCATTTATTTAGTTTCTTAAATTCCAAATATGGGTGACATCATATGATATTTGTCTTTCTCTGACTTACTTCTCTTAGCATTATACTCTCTTGGTCCATCCCTCTCGTTTTGACCTGTTTTCTGGAGGTATCTATGCTTATAGGAAGCAGTCATAATAATATCATATAGTATGATTTCCTAATAAATTGTCTTCAGTTTCTTTTTCTCATTAACAGCTGATTTCAAATCAGTTGTCAAAAGTTTGGGGCAGTAGTGTATTTTGCATTTTGTTTTATATTCTATCAGTATATTTTTCCAGTATTAACAGCATTGTTGGCTCCCTGAATTAAAAAGATGATCACAGATTATAGAGGTCAGAACATACTGTTTTGGTTGTGATTGAGCCTTCATAATTTTTGTATTTATCAACAATTACTATGATATTCCAACAAAAAAACTAACTCACCTTCATTCTCGCCTCAGATTTGTCATGTTGTTTTGGAAAGAACAGTGGTTCCTATTTCAAAGTTATTAAATCTTAATTTCACACTATTAGCTTTCTTTACAGATATCAACTATGATTAGGTACTATGTATAAGTTTGTTAGGGCTACCATAACTAAGTATCACAGACCAAGTAACTTATACGACAAATCTATTTTCTCACAATTCTGGAGGCTAGAAGTTCAAGAGCAAATTGTTAGCAAAGTTAATTTCTTCTGAGGTCTGTTTCCTTGCCTTATAGATGTCAGTCTTCTCCCTGTGCTTTTACATGCTTTTTCTTCTGTGTGTGTCTATGTCTTAATCTTCTCTTCTTAAAGGAACACCAGTCATATTTGATAAGGTTCATCCTAATGACCTTATTTTTTTAACACCCTGTCTCCAAATAGTCACATTCTGAGGTACTGGGGGTTAAGACTTCAGCACATGAATTTTGAGGGGAAATGATTCAGCCCATAACATACTGTATACGTTTTGTTTCATTAAGGGATGTGACATATCTGACAAAATTTGTTATCCTCAAGTCTACATTTTATCTCTGTATCCCAAGTAGGTAGCACAGTGTATGATACATAGCATGTGCTCCATGAATGTTGTTGATTTTTCTGAATGAGTGAGTAATTAAAGATAAAAGGCTGTGTGTATGGGAAGATTATGTGATACATCATGACTTTATTATACCAGGATAGAGAAAAGTATTTGAAGATGATTTACTCTTAGGAGAAAACAAATGGATTGTTGATTGGTACATTACTACCTTATTTCAGGCTAGAATGCTACCAGTCTCAAGATTTTTGGAATGGTGCAGAACCAGAAGAAAGTGAAGTAGAAGAAGGAAGGAGGGCTACAGATGACACAAAAATAATGTTTTAGTATTAAACATCAATAAATATAGCCTTGGAGATGCTAAGAAATGTTAGGCAGTAGACAAGAATGGGTTGGGGAGGAGATGAAATAAGAAAGATGAATATTGGAAATGATGACATAGAGAGTATCAGAGAATTTGACAGTAAAAAAAGAGGTAGTACATGCAAATTATAAAACACTTGTATAATAAGTAACCATGTATGTGTGTATATATGTGTATGACTATCTATATTTATATATCTATGTACCTGTATCTTAGAAGCACCTAAATACTACTTTTCAATCCTGAGCTCACTTATCTCACTCTAGTTCTACTGAACCATAATCTTTGAGGATGGAACTCAAACGTGTATTAAATAAATATTTATTTTACTAGTGATTTTTATTTGCAGCTAAGGCATTATAAGCTACTCTTTACTTAAATGCAACCTAGCTATAATTTAGTAACATAGTACATAGTAGTTGTTTGCTTAGGAACATATGTGTGTTTATTAGAGAAGACAGATGGCCAATCAGTAAGTTAATGTCAGCATTTTTTAAAAAGTACAGATTCTGGAGTCATTGTGCCCTTCATTTATATTGAGTACAACACAGTGTAATAAAAGTACTGACCATGGATAATCTTGAAAAATGTTTATTTATACTCCTCACACTCTGAAGAAAAAATGCTTATTTCATTAAATTTAGATATAAAATCAGTTCTGTTCAAAACTGACACAATTCCATTATATAGGATGAATTTCATATTTCCTTATTTCCTTTGTATATTAAAAAATTAACTCTGGGGGAAGCCTGGGTGGCTCACAGGTTTAGCTCCTGCCTTCAGCCCAGGGCATGATCCTGGAGACCCGGGACCGAGTCTGGCGTTGAGCTCCCTGCATGGAGTTTGCTTCTCCCTCTGCCTGTGTCTCTGTCTCTGTCTCTCTCTCTCTCTCTGTGTCTCTCATGAATAAATAAATTAAAATCTTTTAAAAAATTAACTCTGGATACCTATTTTCAGTTTTTATTAAAGACATTTAAAAATAATTTTACGTGTTTTTTTTACTATTTATCTTGAAAATCTTTCTTTTTACAAGTGAGAATAAGCTGATGATTGCCAGAGGGGAGGGAAGCTGGAGGATGGGTAAAATGAGTGAAATGAAGTGGGAGATACCGGCTTCCAGTTGAGGAATGAGTAAGTCACGGGAATAGGAGCTACAGCATTAAGAAGTATAGTCAATGGTAAAGTAATAGCATTGTATGGTGACAGTAGTTATACTTGTAGTGAGCATAGGATATCATATAGAATGGTTGAACCAATACCCTGTGTACCTGAAAGTAATGTAACATTGTGTGTCAACTATACATGAAACATAATAAATATTATATATTAAAATATATATTGTATATAATACTATCTATCCATATAAATTAAAACAACTTTTTCTTCATTCTCTATTTATGAAATTGTGTGGATTTCCGTGGCTGTCTCTTCCATAAAATCAAACAAGTATTATGCAAAGCCTTAGGAATGCAGAGATGAATGTGATAATACCTGCATTCAGGAAGCTCACAGTCTAGTGAGAGAGAAAGACAAGGTGATTTATTAGGACACAGAGTAACAATATTTTATGGTGGCTATCCCCTGGGAAAAGTGATCTTTCCTAATCTAGTAGCATTTCTCATGTTGGAAACTTTTTATGGTAATGCTGCCAAAAAATGAAAGACATATTACATTTTTAAAGGCTGGGCATCTGGATTTTAATTAAGAAAAGAGACATTGGGCAGACACTTTAATTTGGAAGACATTCTTAGCTTTGGTGAAACTAACTAGAGTATAATTGTTTCCTTGGTGACAGTAACTAAACAGTACAGTTGTTTCCTAGCTCTGAACATTTTTTTAAAAACTAATGTCATTATGACCCATGTTTATAATGATGGTCTTAAATGTCAGGTACTAAAATACTTAGGCATAAAAATGCTGTACTGTGTTCAACATAGAATCACAGACCTATGGGGAACCTTAAAGACCCATGTAGTGTAACTTGTTTGTCATGTGAGAACAGTGAAGTAGAGTAGGTTGTGATTTGGCTAAGGCCACTTGTCTTATGCATGGCAGAGCTAGGAGCAAATCTTAGTCTACTGACTCTTCTACCAGTGTTCTTTCAGGTGGAGAAAAATCCTAATACATGTTTTTATTATATGCTCTAAAGACCAGTAGTACATTCATAGTATGTAGTGAAAACTCAGTTAACCATAATATTTAGAGTATACAGTCTGATGTTGCTTTTGGTATACACATATTCTATTGCAAAGGTGCATATAGATAAGCCATATAGAATGGTAGCTGCAAAGCATATATATTTGCATTAAAAAGGTTTTCTTAAAAGATTTTATTTATTCATGAGAGACATACAGTGAGAGGCAGAGACACAGACCAGAGGGAGAAGCAGGCTCCTTGCAGGGAACCCGATGTGGGACTCGATCCAGGGACTGGGATCACACCCTGAGCCAGAGGCAGACCCTCAACCGCTGAGCCATCCAGGCATCCCTAAAAACAGTTTTTGACTTTTTTGGGGAAATTAACTCTCATAGCCACTTACAAGTCTGTTGAAATACCATCTTGGTGTATAACAAACATCCACAGACATACTTTTAGAGCTGATTCTTCATTTCTGGCTGATTAGTGGTTACTGATACCTAAAGCTAAAATTCCTCTCCCACCCTCATGACAGAGTGAATGTTTGACTAATTGTGTAACATGGAAGTTATTTTAGCTGCCAAGGAGTCTGGTTTACTTGGGATTATGCTCATGCCCACTTTGACCATAGTCAGTATTTATTAATCAATCAATTAATGCATGACTTGACTGAGAATATTCTTGGTATCCAGACCAGAATTTACATGGTGTTAAGAATTGCATGCTCAGGCACCCCTCCAGTGAGGGTCTTAAAACTATTAGTTGTTGATTTTTTTTCTTCTATCACTACCTATTTGGAAGGGAAACCTGAAGCAGAGATTTTATGTGCTTATGTTTATGTGTAATTATATAATAGAGGTGGTGGTGGTGGTCGATCTCTGTGTGAGAAAATAGGGAATTGAAATATATCAGTAGCCCATAAAACTCTGTGCTAAGGTGAAGGAGTTGGATAGTCAGTTATTTTCTGGTGTGATTTCTGGATCTAAATGGAGCTAATCATTAGATGTTGCAACTAGTTTTGAGAATTGTTTAGATTTTTTTTTTACAGGATGAAGGAGTTGTTAAAGAAATCCCTATTACTCATCATGTTAAGGAAGGATATGAGAAGGCAGATCCTGCACAGTTCGAGTTGCTCAAGGTGCTTGGTCAGGGATCCTTTGGAAAGGTAATAAATGCCTTATTCCACATTTTTTTTCCTCTTTTAAACATATAACAGAAAAAGTGTACACATAGAAATTTGGAAAATGTGCCATTTATAAATTTGTAAAAGAATACACACAAAGTTAACTCTCTAATTTTACTCCTTTTATTTCTGTGGTACTTTTAGTTCTATTTCTTTGTATTTCTCTATAATAAACAATGTTTTCCGGTACTGTGGGCTCACTCATTTCTTTGGGACAAAATAGAGCATGCTGTTTATTAGCTGCCTATATCAAAGTAGTTTGATTTTTTTAAAAAAAGTTTTCCCTTTAAAAATGCTGGCATAATCCACAGCTTGTTCTTTCTGAGTGATTTTATCTATATTTCTTAGCTCTATCACAAAAGTAATAATTATACACCAATTCATATATGAGTGCATGAATTCACTTATTATCATTAAAGAAGTGTGTGTACATTACAGCAGGGATAGGGACTGGGTGACGTATGGATGATGTGAAACTCCTAATCTCTAAGGACCTTAAGTTTCAAGATAGAGACATTGAGAAATTCATGATTAATTTCATTATCAAAATAATGAAATTCATTATTAAATCTGTTTATTAAGTGCTTAATGGTATGATTCTTAGAAGTGTGTAGGTCTGGTTCTTGACGTTGTACATCTAACATCTAAGAAGTGAAAGTTGAAGTTACTATACGCACAACAATAGATAACAGCCTTTAAGGAAACACTAGCAACAATTTAATGGGAGAAAGATAATGAGAAACTACTAATTTGAGGTGACTGAGATTTAGTTTAAAGGGAGAAAAGTAGGGCAACTGAGCAGTGACTTTTATGACCTGAATCATTTTTTGTATATATATTTTTAAAGAATTTATTTATTTATTCATGAGAGACAGAGAGAGAGAGAGAGAGTGAGAGAGAGAGAGAGAGAGAGAGAGAGAGAGAGAGAGAGGCAGAGACACAGGCAGAGGGAGAAGCAGGCTCTCTGCAGGAGCCCGATGTGGGATTCGATCCCAGATCTCAGAATCACACCCTGAGCCAAAAGCAGATGCTCTACCGCTGAGCCACCCAGGCATCCCTTTATTGTATATTTTTTATTGGAGTTCAATTAGCCAACATATAGTATAACACCCAGTCCTCATCATGTCCAGTGCCCCCGTCAGGGCCCGATACCCAGTTACCCCATTCCTCCACCCACCTCCCCTTCCACTACCACTTGTTCATTTCCCAGAGATACGAGTCTCTCATGCTCTGTCACCCTTTCTGATTTTTCCCATTTTCTCTCTTTTCCCCTATAATCCCTTTGACTATTTTTTATATTCCCCATATAAGTGAAACCATATGTTTGTCCTTCTCCAATTGACTTACTTCACTCAGCATAATACCCTCCAGTTCCATCCACATTGAAGCAAATGGTGGGTATTTGTTGTTTCTAATGGCTGAGTAATATTCCATTGTATACATATACCACATCTTCTTTATCCATTCACCTTTCAATGGACATTGAAGCTCCTTCCACACTTTGGCTATTGTGGACATTGTGGCTATAAACATTGGGGTGCAGGTGTCTCAGCTTTTCACTGCATCTGTATCTTTTGGGTAAATCCCCAGTAGTGCAATTGCTGGGTCATAGGGTAGCTCTATTTTTTAACTCTTTGAGGAACCTCCACACAGTTTTCCAGAGTGGCTGCGCCAGTTCACATTCCCACCAACATCCCCTTCTTCCACATCCTCTCCAACATTTGTTGTTTCCCATCTTGTAAGTTTTCACCATTCTTACTGGTGTGAGGTGGTATCTCATTGTGGTTTGATTTGTATTTCCCTGATGGCCAGTGATGTGGAGCATTTTCTCATGTGTTTGTTGGCTATGTCTATGTCTTCTTTGGTGAAATTATTGTTCATGTCTTTTGACCATTTCATGATTATATTGCTTATTTCTTGGGTGTTGAGTCTAATAAATTCTTTATAGCTCTTGGATACTAGCCCTTTATCTGATTTGCAAATATCTTCTCCCATTCTGTAGGTTGTCATTGAGTTTTGCTGACTGTTTCTTTTGCTGAGCAGAAGCTTTTTATCTTGATGAATTCCCAGTAGTTCATTTTTGCTTTTGTTTCCCTTGCCTTCATAGATGTATCTTGCAAGAAGTTGCTGTGGCCACGTTCAAAAAGAGTGTTGCCTGTGTTCTCCTCTAGGATTTTGATGGAATCTTGTCTCACATTTAGATCTTTCATCCATTGAGTTTATCTCTGTGTATAGTGTAAGAGAATGGTCTAGTTTCATTCTTCTGCATGTGGATATCCAATTTTCCCAGCACCATTTATTGAAGAGACTGTCTTTTTTTTCCAGTGGATAGTCTTTCCTGCTTTGTCGAATTTTAGTTGGCCATAGAGTTGAGTGTTGTGCCCAAGATTAGGTATCCAAGAAACCACCAAAAAGCCGACGCCAATGCAAATCCACGAGGGTTTATTTACAAGCTCGAGCTTGGGTCCAAGTTATACCCGACACAGCGGAGCAGGGACTTGGACCCCGAGGTGGGTTTCAGCTTAGTTTTATGGGCTGGTCTAGGGGACCTCCAGAAGGGATTGAGGAATTTCTCAAGTTCTGTTTACATTCTGATACGGGGCTTTCGAGGGCATTGAGCTCTGTTCTCATTCTAATATGGGACTTTCTAGGGCATTAAGCTGTAAATTTCAGCTCTTATTCACAGGGGCCTGGGATGGCTGTACTTGTGCTAATGCTGAACGTAAAGTGGAATGGCCTTAATTTTCTCGGCCTCCACGTTGAGGGCCCATTTCTGGGTTCTCTATTCTGTTCCATTGATCTATGTGTCTGTTTTTGTGCCAGTACCACACTGTCTTGATGACCACAGCTTCGTAGTACAACCTGAAATCTGGCATTGTGATGCCCCCAGATATGGTTTTCTTTTTTAAAATTCCCCTGGCTATTCGGGGTCTTTTCTGATTCCACACAAATCTTAAAATAATTTGTTCTAAGTCTCTGAAGAAAGTCCATTGTATTTTGATAGGGATTGCATTAAACGTGTAAATTGCCCTGGGTAACATTGACATTTTCACAATATTAATTCTGCCAATCCATGAGCATGGAATATTTTTCCATCTCTTTGTGTCTTCCTCAATTTCTTTCAGAAGTGTTCTATAGTTTTTAGGGTATAGATCCTTTACCTCTTTAGTTAGGTTTATTCCTAGGTATCTTATGCTTTTGGGTGCAATTGTAAATGGGATTGACTCCTTAATTTCTCTTTCTTCAGTCTCATTGTTAGTGTATAGGAATGCCATTGATTTCTGGGCATTGATTTTGTATCCTGCCACTCTACCAAATTGCTGTATGAGTTCTAGCAATCTTGGGGTGGAGGCTTTTGGGTTTTCTATGTAGAGTATCATGTCATCGGCGAAGAGGGAGAGTTTGACTTCTTCTTTGCCAATTTGAATGCCTTTAATGTCTTTTTGTTGTCTGATTGCTGAGGCTAGGACTTCCAATACTATGTTGAATAGCAGTGGTGAGAGTGGACATCCCTGTCTTGTTCCTGATCTTAGGGGAAAGGCTCCCAGTGCTTCCCCATTGAGAATGATATTTGCTGTGGGCTTTTCGTAGATGGCTTTTAAGATGTCGAGGAAAGTTCCCTCTATCCCTACACTCTGAAGAGTTTTGATCAGGAATGGATGCTGTATTTTGTCAAATGCTTTCTCTGCATCTAATGAGAGGATCATATGGTTCTTGGTTTTTCTCTTGCTGATATGATGAATCACATTGATTGTTTTACGAGTGTTGAATCAGCCTTGTGTCCCAGGGATAAATCCTACTTGGTCATGGTGAATAATTTTCTTAATGTGTTGTTGGATCCTATTGGCTAGTATCTTGTTGAGAATTTTTGCATCCATGTTCATCAGGGATATTGGTCTGTAATTCTCCTTTTTGGTGGGGTCTTTGTCTGGTTTTGGAATTAAGGTGATGCTGGCCTCATAGAACGAATTTGGAAGTACTCCATCTCTTTCTATCTTTCCAAACAGCTTTGGTAGAATAGGTATGATTTCTTCTTTAAACGTTTGATAGAATTCCCCTGGGAAGCATCTGGCCCTGGACTCTTGTGTCTTGGGAGGTTTTTGATGACTGCTTCAATTTCCTCCCTGGTTATTGGCCTGTTCAGGTTTTCTATTTCTTCCTGTTCCAGTTTTGGTAGTTTGTGGCTTTCCAGAAATGCGTCCATTTCTTCTAGATTGCCTAATTTATTGGCGTATAGCTGTTCATAATATGTTTTTAAAATCATTTGTATTTCCTTGGTGTTGGTAGTGATCTCTCCTTTCTCATCATGATTTTATTAATTTGAGTCTTCTCTCTCTTCTTTTTAATAAGGTTGGCTAATGGTTTATCTATCTTATTAATTCTTTTAAAGAACCAACTCCTGGTTCTGTTGATCTGTTCCACAGTTCTTTTGGTCTCGATTTCGTTGAGTTCTGCTCGAATTTTAATTAACTCTCTTCTGCTGGGCGTAGGGTCCATCTGCTGTTTTTTCTCTAGCTCCTTTATGTGTAAGGTTAGCTTTTGTATTTGAGTTCTTTCCAGTTTTTGAATGGATGCTTGCTTGTATTGCGATGTATTTCCCCCTCAGGACTGCTTTTGCTGCATCCCAAAGATTTTGAATGGTTGTATCTTCATTCTCATTAGTTTCCATGAATCTTTTTAATTCTTCCTTAATTCTGGTTGACCCTTTCATCTTTTAGCAGGATGGTCCTTAACCTCCATGTGTTTGAGGTCCTTCCAAACTTCTTGTTGTGATTTAGTTCTAATTTCAAGGCATTATGGTCTGAGAATATGCAGGGGACAATCCCAATCTTTTGGTATTGGTTCAGACCCGATTTGTGACCCAGTATGTGGTCTATTCTGGAGAAAGTTCCATGTGCACTTGAGAAGAATGTGTATTCAGTTGAGTTTGGATGTAAAGTTCTGTAGATATCTGTGAAATCCATCTGGTCCAGTGTATCATT